CAATTATTTAACCTCTCTCTATATATACAATTCACCACTCTCCCACTCTCTAACCTCTCTCCTCCCTCTCCTAATTTTGCTTGCCATATATACACACGCATATGTATAATATACAATTATAGACATATAAATTCACCTCTCTCCCACTGTATGCGCACTATCACTTGCCTATCTCCTCCCTCTTTCAATATCGTTCGCCTCTCTCCTATCTCTTCCAGTCTCGCTCGCCTCTCTCCTCCCTCTCCCTCTCTCGTTTGTCATATACATATACATATGTATAATATACATAATCGATATACATATACAATACTCACCTTTCTCCCACTCTTCTCCCCTCTCTCTCGCCTCTCTCTTCTCTCTGTCTCTCCTCAGTCTTGCTCGCCTCTCTCCTCCATATAGCGTGTAGCTACGAATTGTAATTATCAAACTATAACAACGGGGAGTAATTAGGCTATTTTAAACGTATAACTTACATAAATCCATAATGTAAGAAATATATTACATTTTATTCCTACTCTTTTCTATTTTACAAGAATCCCATAAAATATCATTCATCTCGATAAATAAATTTCACTGGAATACATTAATTGTGATACATTATAAAACTTGTTTGTTGCGCTTAATATGGATAATAACAAAAAATGAATTTTATTTCCCACAAGTCACGCAGATCTAATTGATATCATTCCATTCCAATCTGTAACAACTTCACAAATTTAAAATTCAGATTTTCAGCTTCTCCACCAATTTGAAATCACAAAATCTCCACAAGAGGAATTCCGAAAGATATGATGACCACTGAATTAAATACTTTTCAAATCTCATGCAATGATTTGATCCTTGATAGAGTACCTTACAGAATTCTATTTCTTTCTCGGCTTAAAGGAATATTGGTGGATAAGTAATTTGAGCCTAGCAATAAATATTATTAGAGATATCATTAGAAAATTGACAATCGTGACAGTAGATCAAGCCTTCACCCATCTAATGGGTTTATCATCAGGAGAATAATCAGTTAGTTACGAATGAGATCTACAGATTTGTGTGGTACCTCAATTATTGTGGTTTCTTCATTTGGTCTGTTGGTATACAAATACTTTGTAGTTCAATATCAGTTTGGATTTATAGTTGTTGTGTGGATATTATTCTCAGGAAGGATATCTTAAGAGGATAATCAAGAACTCCTAGGTACATCATGGGGAGTAGATGTATATGTATATAAGAAGAAAGAGTGGTTTGCCATATGGTGTTTGTGCCATTAATTCATTGGCTTCTTATTTGAGGAAGGAAATTATCTTTTTTATTGTCTTCTTATCCATCACCAACCGTTCAACCATTTCCTCCACCATTCCCTCGCCCTCTCCATCATTGGTATATAATATATTTTCAATGTATCATTGCTATAGTTTTATTTTGTCATTTTGATGTGAATATGTAAGTCAAGATATATTAGTGGTAAACGACTCACATGTATTGTTATTTTGTATATAAAAATTATGATGTGGTTATTTTCTTTGTAGTCGGATGTGATTTGTATAAAAATGTATTATTATAATATATTGTATATGATACATGCAATAAGTGAATTAACAATTGAGATGGATCAGATACATTTTTAATATCGAGTGTGTGTATCACAAATTTTTAAAACGCATCAGGTTATTATTGTGTATATTGTACATATAAATAGTGTAACAATTGAGATATTTAAATTACTTATTTTGATCAAGGCAAATGTGGATGATACATTAATAAATATCAATCTTGCATTTTTGTGAATGGTTGTATCATTGATAATTTTAATGTACCTAGAACATGTTATAAGATGGTTATAAAATTCTATGGATATGTGTTAGTTTGTTGTTAAATCGATGTTGCTTTGAAAATTGAAAAAATGTATTTGATATAATGTATCACTCAATTTTTTGATTTTTGCTGATTGTACCATGTCGTATGGGTTTTTATGTATCAAGATAATTATGGGTAATATTTACAGATACATCGTATTCTAAGTTTGATAACATTGAAAAAATATTAACAAGTGTAGATACATAATACACAATCGATTTGTCATTGTGTATATAGCCTTTTTAAATTTGAATAAAATTTTGATGATACATTGAAAAACTTGATACATGCAAATTGTACATTAGGAAGTGTTTATGTATCAAGTACATTTATATTGAACACAATAAAACTAATTGAAAATTCAATAATATTAGGGTTATGTATCAACACCTTAGTTCTGAATATGATACATTGTATAAGGATGAATGGATAATTAGATATAATGGAGAATCATATGTATCTAGAGAAGAGGATCAAAATAAAAAATAAAAAATAAAAAAACGACAATTGAGAATATGAAAAGTACCTAATTCAGTAGTTTAAATTTTATTGATTAGAGAAAGACTGCTTTTGAAATAAAATTAAAATGAAAATTATAACTGATAAGATTGTGGAGTGAAGTTAGGAGAGATTAAAGGACTAAAATAGATGAAAATGGGACCCTTTTGAAAATGGTTGGATTGAGAGAGAAAAATTTTGAAAATAAAATTGAGATAATGATTTGTAACTCAATAGGTAATGGAGTGAATTTAGAGAGGAAAAAAAAGAGTGGCATGGAAAGTTGTGAAATGTGTAAGGTAAAAGATAATTATGTATCTGGAAGATTTGTTATTTAAGTGAAATAAGAGATTTAAGTAATTTTAAAAAAAGTAGGGAAAAGTAGACAATAAAGAACTTAAAATTGTGTATTTAAGTTATTTTTCATTTTCTTGTTTTTCTAGTTAAGTTTGATACTTAAAATAAATTCATTTTTTTATCAAGTTGTATTAATTTAATAGATAATGACTTACAATTTTATTTTTCAGCTAAAGGTCAATCGAAAAACATGTGAGAAAGTATATTACTTTTTATTGATCCAACTTCATTTACTATCTTGAATATTTAGTAACTTTAAAGAAATTATATTAATAAATAATGTTCTATATATCACTCTTATAATGTTTAAAAAGTTAAAATTAAGTTTGAACCCACATAAAATCACAATTACCTGCAATTCGCTCCATCCTGCGTTAATTTTAATAATAAACCGACATCAATCCCTCTATAAATATAGGTGCTTTGATTAAATTAATTACGAGGCGTTGGTAACTGGTCCAGTGTTGTTCATAAATACATTTCATTATCAATTGTGTCTTGCTTCTATATTATAATTATTTTTCTTCCTTGCAATTTTTATTAGAGCTCCTCAATTAGGATTCTATCACGTTTTTAATTTGGACCCAACTATTAAGAAAAATATAATTTACATAAATTCATAGTGTAAGACTTAAATTACACCGTATTCTTACTCTTTTCTATTTTACAGAACTCCCTGAAAATATCAGTCATCCTGATATATAAGTTTCATTCGGATAGATTTATCGTGATACATTATAAAACTTGTCTATTGCGCTTCATACGAAATATTAACAAAATTGATTTTCTTTCCACAAATAAAGCAGAACTGATTTTCTTTCCCACAAATCACATCAAACTAATTGAATGAATCCATTCCAATCTGTAACAACTTCACAAAATTTAGAAAATTAAATTTTCATCTTCTCCGTCAATTCAAAATCTTGAATCTCAAATTCTCCTTTTAGATGATTGGATAAATGATTCATGATTTCGAACAATCAATTCAAAATCAGTTGTGGTCATTATTGTGTTTTGATGTGAATACCTAGAAGGTAACTCATATCTATAATGGAGAAATATAAAATAGAGCACAACTTCTATTCAAAGTAAAAGGATATGATAAAAAATATGAGATTAGTTGTTAAGTATTGTGAATTGTTATTTTTTAATTTTTGATACATAAAATCGTGATACACTGCTATTTCTAAAGATATTTCATGACGAATCTGAGATATGTTTGTTTGTTTGACATTGACTTCTAGAAGAATATTTGGTGAAAATATCTTGTGGCTGGCCTGAGCAAGACATTGAAGCATGAAAAGTTGGGCTTAGATTAATTACTAAAACTGACTGGAAACTATAAATGAATGGAGTATAAGTTTCACCAGTAAATAAGATGGATGGTACGCAAGCTTGTTGTCATGTGAATTAATATGTAAAGACGATTGTTGGAATTTCTTAGGACTTTCATCTTGTGTTTTTTAATGATAAAAAGGTTTGAGATTAGTTGTTCTGTATTGTGAATTATTATTTTTTAAATTTTGATACATAAAATCATGATACATTGCTATTTTCAAAGGTACTTCATGAGTTGGTTATTGATAAACTGGTATATAGTATTGTAATGTATCATGGTTATAATTTTGTTGTCATTTTGATGTGAATATGTAAGTCATGATTCATTAGTATCAAATGATGGATATTGTAATTTGTACCTATAGATTATGATGTGATCATTATTGTGTATTTAAGTTTGATTTGTATAAAAATGAATTATCATAATATATTATATATGATATCTGTAACAAAATGAATTAACAATTGAGATTGATCAGATACGTAATGAATATCGAGTGTGTATGACAAATTTTTATAAATGTATGTCAGTCTTTGATTACTTGTTTTGATCAATAATAATGTGGGTTTTATACATATATATACACATATATACACACACACACACTATACTAAAAAATTGTCAAAAAATGACGGTCTGTGTCGCTTTTTTGGTCAAAATCGACGGAAAAGCAATGAGGTCACTTTCATTGCTTTTCAAAAAGTGACGGACTGCGACACTTTTTAACTATTTTTTTTAACGAAAGCGACAGACTCTGTCACTTTATTTTCATTTTCATTTTTTAAATTTCCAAAAGTCAACGCAATCCGCCACTTTTCTAGATATTTTACTTTTGAAAATTCAGAAAAGCGACGGATAAAACCAGATTGTCCGTCACTTTCTTTGGAAATTTTTTAACAACAACAGTTTCTACTGCCCACCGGGAAATACACTTCAATTCATATTCATCAGCCCCATATCAAACAATAACATCACATAACATATAAAACATAAAACTTAAATCAATATTCAAAAATATCTAAATGACAAATTAAAAACTTATAAACTTATTCAAAATTAGTTTCAAAAAGTCATGAAAGATACCTAAACTAGGGATTGCAATCTACAAAATAATCATCCTCGTCATTATCATTGTCGGTGTCCTTGGCGGGAGAAGATGTAGTAGGTCGATGAGCGATGTACAACACCAGTTGTTTGATCTCCTGAACGATCTCACTCGTACTTTATTGTTAAACTGCTTTTGTCCGCTCCGACTCTCTGCCAATGTCGTGTATGTTGTGCTATTTGAGTTGACATAACAATAATCTGAACACCTTCAAGTGTTTCGACTTGATGTAACGATCCTATACCTTCTAAGCCTGACTGAAATCGTATTACATCGTTTCGAGAGCCTACAACATAGACTTTACCCTTGTGTATTCCCTCTACCACTTTTCTTTCCAAATTTGGGTGGCCAGTTTTGGTGTCGTTTTGACTAAATTATCTAGATTCTGAGCGACGTACTGATGAAACTCATTTTGCATATTCAATAGAAAAATTGGCATCAATGTATATACATATCATAAATATATTCAATATATATATATATATATATATATATATATATATATATATATTCGGATCTGACTCATTTTCTTTTTTATTTACATGAGTCTTCTCTAAAATCGCTGGTTCAACGGGAGGGTGCCCCAATTCTTTTTCCTATAAATAAAAGCTGACATTTATAACAATATATATATGAATCAACTATTTTTTTTAAAAAAAAAATTGAATTAGAACTTACCCTCTGTCTTGTAATTGTTCCAACAGTCTTTGCACCTCATGTGTGCAACGAGCCACCCTCAAGAGTGCCTCTAGCCTTTTTGGCTTTTTCGTACATTGCCTTATCAATGTTCCAATATAGACGCAAATCATCTAAAACATGAGGTAACATCCAATCCGGACGTTCATCACTATCCCAAACTTTATTTATCCATCCAGATAGTCTCGCGAATTCCCTCCTCTCAAATGTGGTCCCAATGACCAATTTGTACCTTAACTCCCAACTACACACAGTCTAGGAAAAAAATTGAATAACATTAATTAGATCGATAGTAAAAAAATAAAGTATACTAAAATTATTAAATTTAACTAAAAAAGTATATTCCTTACATTCATTAAACATTGTCTGGTATATACTGTTTGGAATCTCTCTTAAAGAGTGATAAGCCTGTGTATAGAGTTTTCTAATACAGTCTTTAAAGCCCGAGCACCATCCTTTATAGGATGTCACCTGCAAAACACATAATAAATGTTAGTTCATTAGTAATATTTAAGTATAAGAAATAAATAAAATAAACTAACAAATAGATAACAAAATAAACTTATGAGGATCCATTCGGCTCAATCATGACTCTTCCAAGTCTGTCCTTCTGGCCAGGAGCTAGAGCAAGCATCTCAATATCTTGTGTAGAATCATTAGGTGCAGTTGTAGATAAAATTGACACTAGGATGCACAAAAATCTGAATCAATGGAGGCGTACCGACCATAACATCTAACTACTTACTACTAGAATATTCAATCCTCATGACAGATAACTGAGGAGATGCACCAGTGGGAGATGGAGTATCATTCACCATCCTATTGATAAGGGTCGTGGTAGACGAATAGCCTGTAAAGATAGGTTTTCGTAGTGTCGTGGTGGCAATCATTGTGAAATAAGGAAGAACTGACTCATTTACAGTAATTAGGATAATATTATCTAGTATCAATTATACCAGATGGAACACAATCCCAATCTAACATTTCTTTGTTCACTAGCAAAATAAGGATATGCATTATCAAAATGCTTCCATGCCTCACCATCAAATGGATGGGACAAAACACCAGGAGACCTTCCATATTCACGATGCATCTTATATGTGGGATGTATCTCAACGATACATACAACCCCGTTAAACTAGGAATGAGAGGTAGATAATGCATTGCCTTAACTAGGATAATCTTTCGGTTCAAAGTCCTCTTATAACGAGCATGTCTAGAAAACTTACAATTTTCTAATTCACTATCAGTCTTGTAAAACAGCATGCAACAATTAACTCAACAACGAATTCTATCATACGTCAAACATGACTTGGAAATCAAACACTTCGCCTGATAGAAGTTCCTAGGTATGTTAAACTCCGAATTAACTAATTCATCTAAAAGATCAACCATTGAATCCATAGACGCATTAGGAACATTCCAATCTGATTTAATATTCATTAATCTAACTACAAATGACAAGGCAGAACGCGGACTCCCTTCATATAGTGGATTACTAGACTCTTCTAATTTATCATAGAAGTGTTTTGATTCTTCATTTGGAGCTTCATTAAAATATTGTTCGGGTTCCATCCCACCTTAAATCCCGAAAGCATAATTGATTATTTCATGAACCATATCATGTTCAACCCTAATTTGACCATGTGGTGCAAGCTTATTAAATTCATCCACAACCATCAAATTATAAAACATACCATTCAATTCATTTCTTTTTCCATGATCAATCCATACAAAATATCTAGGCTTACATCCATTAAGGTACAAATGAATCATAACTGTATCTGGTTTAAATTTTTTTAAGTGTCATTGTATGTTCAATGAAATTTCTAATACCGTCAATAAACTCAAATTTCAAACTAGCACCAGCTTCATAATGCATATTAAACATCCATAAAAGACGATTCATCTACAAAAATTATATATTCATGACATTCAAACATTCATCCTATATCATACATTTAAACAATCAAACTTCATTAATATCTAACTTCTAAATTTAAATTAACAATTTTCTAATTACTAGCAAATAATGTTTAAAAATCCCAATTCACAATCAAATCAAAGTTTTTCAAAATCGAACTAGTACCCAAATCCTAAGAACCCTAATTCATTAATTATGAGACACAATCAATCATTCAATAAAACAAAAATCCTATAAACTAATAAACATAATCAAATATAACTAAAATTGAAAAATTTGAAACTAATTTGATAAAATTCTAACCTTAAATTAATGGAGAAAGAGACAATGGAGATTGCTGGAAGCTACGATGGCAGCAACTAGCGATAACAGCGGCGGTGGCAAGAGATGATGGTAGTGGCGGAATACTTCAAGAGAAGGAAGAAAGAAAGAAGAGAGAAGGAAGAGAGGAAAATGGGAAAAATCGAGTCTGTCATTTGAAATATTTAATGAAAAACAGCCGACAACGTCTTCCCATCTGTCGCTTTTCTTTTAAAAAGTTGACCAACCATTTTGACCAAAAAGCGACGGACAAAGAGTCACTGTCCATCGCTATTTTAAAATAGTTGACCGTATATTTTGACTAAGAATCGACGGACATAAAGATGTCGTCCCACACTATAATAAAAAAATAAGTCATAAAATAATATAAATATAAAGTGACGGACAACATCGTTAATATTTTAATTAATATATAATTATTTTTAATAAAAGCGACGGACGGTTGTCGCTATACATATTAAATAAATAATTGTTAATTTAATAAATATTTGGCGCAAAAATCTGCGAAAAAAGCAATGGACTAAGAGTTGTCGTCCGTCACTTTTTGGAAAATAATTATATTTATTAAACAACGACGAACAGTGTGACAAATGATGTCGCTTTTTTGTCCATCATTTTTTAACAATTTTTTTAGTGTGTGATTATTTATTGTAATGTATCTGTTACATGTGACAAGATGGTTACAAAGTTGTGTCGTTATCTGTTACTTTGTTGCTAGATAAATATTGCTTTGAAAATTTAAGAAATATGTATTTCATGTAATGTATCACTGAGTTTTTTTAATGTTTGCAGGTTGTTCCGTGTCGTCAGAGTTTATTTTTTCAATTTATGAGGCCAGAAGGAGATACAGTGTTTGCTTAAGCGAAAAATATGTAATTGTGCTAGATTTCAACTAGACGAGATGTCTTGTGGACAATGTGGACAAGAAGGACATAATTAAAGAGCTTGTATTTTCTTCCTCAAACAAAAGTGAAACAGATTATTAGAGCAACTACAAAGTGTTTTGACTATGTATCATGACCAAACTATATTGTATATGATACAAAAAATTATGAATATAACAACTCATTCAACAATATGAATTTTATACTTGATACATCCATATGGACTATTGAAAAAAAATAAACTGAGTTGTAACCATCAAATTTTCGTTCTGATATGCAATTTGCACTACATAGTATCTTAATCATTGATAATAATGTATCAAATACAATAAGATTATAAAAAAAAGGTCTATGTGAGCTTCAAGTAAAGTGTATCTGTAAATGTATCACAACAAATAAGAATTAAGTTATCAATAAGATACATGAATGAATCAATAACTAACTACAACTAAATGTCTAATGTATCAACATGAATGAATCAACAACTAACAATAACTAAATTATCAAGTATATACAGGAATGAAAAAACAAACAAAAAATTGAAAAAAATAATAATGGAGAATACGAGAAATATTTATTTAATTGTTTGAATTTGATTTATCGAGTAATAATCCTTTTGAAATTCAAATTTAGATAAAAATTGTAATTGTGGAGTGAAATTAGGGAGAGATTCAAGGAGAGAAAAAAGGAAAGAGAAAAGTGGGTTAAGGCTAGGATACTTATGTATCATGTTGACTTGAGAATTGGAAAAAATAAGGGATTTTGAAAATATCTTGAAATGCTAGGCCATAATGGAAATTATGGAAAATAAAGGTGTACATATATATGTAATTTTTCCATATATAAACGTGTCATTCTATTTGGACGGATTAAAAAAAAAAGGAAGTCATATAACTGGGACGGATGGAGTAAAGAATTAGCGAATTTGTGTCAGTTCTATTTATTCATGAGTGTAACTAATTGTAAATATAATTTCAAGCCTGAGATCAATAGCAAGGGGGAGATATTAAGGTTATATACAAAGTACGTGTTGGATGTATGGAAGGATCATGTCGCAAATGTGAGAATTGTAGCGTTGATCTCGAGAATTACTTCCCTCATAAGATTCCTACATACAACGGCTATAACTCAGACGGAACCCTCAATTTGGAGGTTACTCTCACATAATGGTATTTGATGAGCATTTTGTACTATGTTGTCCTAAAAACTTGTTGAAGGACGTTGCTCCCCTGTTATATGCTGGAATTACTACTTATAGTCCTTTGAGATATTTTGGACTCGATAAGCCTGGAATGCACATTGGTGTTGTTGATCTTGGAAGGCTCGGACATATGGTTATTATGTTCGCTAAGGAATTCGGAACCAAAGGTACATTCATTAGTACATCTGCTAAAAAGAATCAAGAAGCAATTGAGCGTTTAGGCGCAGACTCTTTCTTGATCATCCGCGATCCTAAGCAGATGAAGGTGTTATCATTGAACTTTGTGATCATCTTATTTTGAATGTCTAAACTATTTGAGAGAGCAATTTTATTTAATCAGTTGTGTCTTCAACACATCTCTGCCTGATTCTTTTTCATGAGTCAAAATCACGTGAATTTTTTTCGACAATGGCGGTGTTGAGGTTTTTGAACGCTCCACCTCCGCATGCTCTAGTTCTGTGTTATAGTGTCTGACAATCTCATCTAAAAGCTTAAGTTTTTATGCCAGTTTAACAATTTCCGCTGTGCACTCTATTCTTCCATTGCTTATATTATTGAAATCTCATGGTAAGCTTGTTATGGTTGGTGCACCAGAAAACCCAGTGGAGTACTTGCCCATGTTTTCTCTATTTATTGGTAAGCATATAAAGTTTTCTTTATGTACTATTTCAAATAAAAAAAGTTTGGACGAAAACTTAGTGCATCAGACGGTCTGTTTTTTTAAGACTAAAGTTTGTATATAAAATATGGAAATCAGGAGGGAAGCTAGAGGCTGGAAGTTGCATAGGAAGTACGAAAGAGACTTAAGAAATGTTGGATTTTGCTGCAAAGCATAACATAACACCACATGTTGAAGTCGTGACAATGGATTACCTGAACACAACGTTGGAATGTCTTCTGAAAATGGATGTGAAATGTCATTTCTTGCTCGACAATGGCAATACATTGAACAAGAATGAGAATATTAATAGGGAGGATTTACATTCGGTGGTGTAGTTGTGTTTGTTTGCTTAGATTACATTTATTTCAGAGATGATTGACTAAATGTGTTTCCTGCACTTATTAAAATATAAAAAGAAGGTAACATTTTACAATAGATATCAAGGAAGACTACGCTTCATTACAAACAAATTAATGAGGTATTTAATCTACTTGTGAACTTTGATTCTTAGAAGACGAGCAACTGACCTCATCATATCTGCTCTTCCTTATTCCAGTGTAAAGCTTAGCTTCATATTTATACAACAAACAAACTCCAAATTCACTTCTTGTTCCAAAATAATTTATTCTGAATAAAACTGAATGCACCCATAGTCATTTGGTGTTTTTCCATTTGCATCCCATAAGCCACCAAGAGTTACCAACAAAAATATGCATATCATATTTACCAATATATACTGCATGGTTGAATAAAGCAAATTCCTGGGTCATGGACGACATCCCATCATCACATAAGGAATCAAATGAGTTGTGATGTCAAATAATTTGCCT